TAATCAATAAGATTTACGACCATTGATCGCTAAGTAGAGGGTCCATTTTATCTAGTATTGGGCGTCACATACAACTTTTACTAAGTCTTCCCTCTCACACTTCTTTAATGCTTCGATTAGTTGCAGAGTCGTTGCCTCTTTGCCTTTTAATTCTTTCCACTTTTCCAACATCGCGTATGCCATATTGCCTACATTTCCAGCGTGGTCTGATTTGATGGCATTTATTATTTGGTTCGACAGTCCAAGAAACGTCCCCAGTTTCTGCCAATCATCTGGTATCTGTTGTGCCAATTCCCTTGCCAGAGGTGAAGACACAGCAACTAATAAAAATAAAACAAAAAATCACTTGAAAATTAACACCCCTCTATCAAATTCTCTTGTGCTCAGACGCAACCCTGGCAAAGTTATTCTTATTTTGTTAAAACTATAAACTAAACCCAAATTAATTCACTGGAATATGATGGTAAGTGTCCAAAATGATGTAAATTTGATGGAAATGATTTACATCAAATTTACATCATTTTGGACACTTACATCATATATACATCAAATTTACAACCTTTAAAGCGCGCGATTTTTTCCAGTGATTCACAATAATTATCAGCAAAGCTAAATAAAATAACCAAACATCAGGTGCCCAGGGATATGTCCCATAAGAGACAATCATTACGCAGAATCGAGCCTAAAACTGTTTATGAAAATATAGAGCACAGAAGTTGAGGATGAAAGAAACACATGTTAAGTATTGCATGTATGTAAGACATCTACAGGTTTCAATAGCTAGTTTTGAGCTATTTYCTTGATCTTAAAGAGCATCAAAATGTCCYGAGAAARTTTAAGTTCCCCTTTTCCTTACAGTCCAACTTTGAACCGGACAAACATTTCGCAAATAAGAATTGAGTTATTTACCTGGGAGGATTGGCGCATCTCCTCTTTTGAGCAGTTCTATTGGACATCATTAAAATAAAATTAGTAGTTTCAAAATAATCATGACGAACGATATTCTAGTTAAAGTTCCAGTTCTTTTTTACTCTAACTAAGCCTTAAATGTGTCATATAATCAAAAATTAACAATTTACGATAAACAAAAGAGCTTTTCGCACTCGCACAAGTCCGTATTTATCAGGCTGTGGTGGTCTGGAGCAATTTTCGAGATAAATTTCTCTTCTCGCATGCACGGCCTTTAAAAGTATCGCAAACGCGCGCATAGAAACCTGATAATTTAAACTTTCTCCTGTAGCGTGAATCATTCGATTATGATGGCAATGGTCTTTTCTGTTCACAAAACTGAAAGAATCAGGCCCGCGGCTTTTTCACTACCTTTCTTGCAGACTGTTAAAAATTATATGGAGTTTACCTGGGGGTGGAACAACTTGGTTGACATCGATCACCTCAGACTTTTTTACCGCACACCTTGTACTTGTCGGTTTTTCTCCTGTCCACCATTTGCAATCAAAGTGGTGAGGCTTTTTGGATTTCTTTTTGATGCAATGRGGACAGAGTGTATAGGTATTGTACGAAACTCTAGGCCATTCAGACAGCAAGGATCTCAGTTCCTGAAGCAAATTTYAAAGTTAGACGTCTTTTAAGGTAACCCTTGGATGAGGGCTGGTGCCCGACATACAACATCTTTTTTTTTTTTTTTACAACATCTTACATCCTAGCCACCAAAGAGGCTGACAATTAGACTGACGACATTTCCACTAGACTCTAAACCCAAAAATAATTCTTACAAAGCATCCCCCCCTCAATAAAAAAAGGCAAATGGCCAGCCCCTAAATAAAGCATTTTTATTGAAAGTAGTAGTCAGTATTTTAATTATTTGACATTTTCCATGAATGGGTTTTTATTATAGAACAGTAGCCTATGTAGCGACTAGGAACGCCTGGCTACGCAGACTCTAGTACAGTGGCAACTTTGACATTATTTAGAAATTTGTTACTAACAATAACAGATGTGGTTTTACCTTAACAATTCCCAAAATTGCAACCCAAAGTTTCTTTATGTCAGATTTAATGCGCCCAGTTACAGTAATTTGTGATTCAATCACTTCCAGGTATATTTGTATGTCRYCTTGGCATATAAGCATGCTATTTTTCCATGTCAACACATCAATACCAAGGGCATAGCATCGGACGCACAGTCGATCAAACACCCCACTAGGAAGGTACCCAACAATGCAAAACCTGAGTTTTAATTCAAGCTAGAAAAAGAAAAAGAAAAACAACCAAATATTATTTACCAGCTTTGAGTAAACAGCAGTTATTTTACYGAGCACTGCAGTGGAGTTTTCTATAAAGGTAAGCACTGCATCAGTAATGTTCACTCTAATTTTTTCTATGTTTGTATGTTTGTTTAGCATACTTTAATATTTATTACACTATCTTTGTCAATCAGTTAACCAGACATTATTGCCATCTTAGTAAAACAGTAAACCAGACACTTGTCTACCTGGTCAGGTTCAGATACGTCAGGAAAGTATTCTTGCTTAGTTTGTGAATCCAGYTCAGAATGCAAAAACCAGGGAATGAACAATTCTTCTTTTAGATGGAAAGGTATTTCACAAGCCAATCCAAACACCACTAGACTACTAATCACTTTGAGGAACTTGTCTTCATTCAGTTGCAGCTCCTGCCAAAAACACCTGAATAGAAAAGTACTTAATTCAGTAAAAMAATACACTTTTGAATTGCAATTCCAGGTGATTTGAACTACCTAAGTATTATTTGAGAAATGTTTTCAATAATCATTTCAAAAAAGCATGAAAAAGTTTGGCTGWTAAGTGTGCATCATCTAGAAATGAATAAAAAAGGAACAGTCYGAGCAATAAGTAAAGGTGTTCTCTGTATGATGGCAGAAATACATAGTTGAACTAACAACACTCCAAGAAGGATGTGTAAACTGAGTTGCCATTGTAGCAATATTAAAGGAGAACAACTACAAATCAAAAATGAACATGTCTGAGATTAACCCTCCCTTTTTACCTCAAAAGATCCAATGATAACCTTCCATAATCTTTCAATCGTTGAAGGTGATTATCAAACTTAATTCTTTCCATGCCAAAGTCCATGTAATCATCTTTGAATTCAATGGCATCCTTTTCCTCATAGTCATGCCTGAATAGAAGTTTAACCAGTTTGCAAAGCCAGGGAAGGTCCAGGAAAACACTGTATTGTGTTTTGGGAATGTTATCATAATATTTGATCTATAAGGAATAAATTTAAACAACAGGATCAAAGCTTTGCTTTGTATTTAGTAAAMAAATTTTACTAGAGCTTATTATAGAAGATTATATGAAATATAATGGACTTCAAGATACATCAGTTCTAAAACATCCCAGTGCTGCAACTGTCATCAGTTGGATTTTGGATTATCTCCACAAGCTTGAAACTTCTTTCATATAAAGAAAATTAGCATCCTGCTTAGATATCAATTAAGTTGAGTGAGAATGTGGTTAGCTCTCACCTCTCCCACTGAGTCAAGGTAATTGAGACTAGATCCAACCTCAGAGCCCTCAAGGCCAGCCTTTTCATAAGCAAACTTTTCAAACTGTTCCTTTGTCATACAAGGAACCTCTGGAGGCTTGAGATTCTCTCTGTATGCTCTAATGGCTTTCTCCATATTTACCCAAGATGTCGGCAAATCTATTCCTACAAGAGGGAATAAGGCATCTTCCTTTTCACTTGTTGAAGACGTTTTACACCTTGCTACTCTGCAAATTTCATTACGTAAAAGGATCATTCCTTTGAGCTCTTCYGTGGATGAAACAGCCACAAGATTCAGATATGCTTGTTGGCCTTTTCCTTTTTCCTTCTTCTGAAAAATATGGTGACAAAAATTTTTTACTTTAGTACTGTTGAATCTCCAATTGCAGATGTAAAGCAGATATCTCTCTAATTATAGAGGCCATTCCCAAACCCCTTTTTTGTCCAGCAAACACTGTGATCACTACTTTCTTGTTAGCAGACATTTTGGTAAGCAGGCAGAACAGTCTTTTAAGAGTGGATTATTGCAGTTTAGTCAGTTCAGTTCAGTTTCTTACAGCTCAGGGTGATGCTTAATAAAGGTAAATATTTATTGAGTCAAACAAAGAGAGAAGATACTCACAGAATCATCTCCAAGTAGCACCTTAGATGATATAAAWGGTCTATTATTCCTGAGCCACCTCAARTTTCCTGCTTTCAACCGTGCCCCCTCACGGTCCTCTTGTAAGGATGACTTCTTTTCTGCTTGTTTGATTTCTCTATCAAGTTGCTTGATTTCTTTTTCTTCATGTTTTTGAATTTTGGTCAGAATATCATTACACTTTTCAATGACTTTGGCATCTGTTAGCTCATCCCTGTGGGTGGCTACAACCATGATGCGAGGTTTAGTAAGGCGTGCTGTTACCCAATTGATCCAGTCTTCAACATGTCTCTCAAATGACTGACTGTCGCTGGTATCATATGTTTTTAAGTTGACGACAATAACATGAAGTGCCTCTAAAATAAAATAAAAAAATGGATATACAACATATTTTTGGATATATCACAGAGCGCAAATAGTAATGCTGACGTTATATAGTCAGTCCAATTTTAATTCAGTTTTAACACATTATGTTTGTAATTAATGATTAATCCCCTTACTATTATCAGGACAGTCATATCAGTCGAGAAGATATACATAATTTACTATGAATAAATCTACATACCCTCTGATAAAAAGAATGGATGAGTCAATTGATAACGWCGTTGACCAGCACAATCCACAATACACGCCTCAAGTCCATCTTCTCCAAATGGGCAATGGTGCATTTCAACTCCAATGGTGCTGTCATTGGTCTCTGTTTCACAGGCTTTGCAATTGACCAGTGCATGGGTCAGGAATGTTTTCCCTGCACCAGATTCGCCGAGCATCACAATTTTGATGCGGTTTGAGTGCAATTTATCACTTTTGGCCATTGATGAAAAGAACCCCTTGATACTATCTATCCCTTTTGAACAAACACTGAGTGGAGGCTTGTGTAAATAATGGTTTTCATGAATTTTAATCCGTAAAGATTCTTTCAGTTTAGTAACACTCTCGGGTAGACATGTCAGTTTATTTTTACAAACATCCAAAACTTGCAAGAATGGCAGCTTGCTTATTTCATCTGGCAAAGACATGAGATTATTTTCAGCTAAAACAAGCACCGTWAGGGACTCCAGACCAATGACTTTTGGAGATAGTTTGGAAATTCTATTCTTAGGAGCTGATAATTTCTTAAGGTGCTTCATTGTGTACAACTGTTCTGGGAATTCTGTTAACATGTTTTCCATCAACCTCAAACCTTGCAGAACCTTTAGGTTTCCAATTTCTTCAGGAAGTGTTGACAAAGAACAGTTCATAAGATACAAATCTTTCAGTCTTGGGAGATCAAACAGCTCTTTACAAAGCCCTGAAGAAAAGTTATTATCGCTCAAATCTGCCTCCAAGAGATTTAAAAGATTGTTGATTCTGGGTGAGATAGATGTTAGCCCACATCCATTCAAATAAAGCTTCTTAAGACCAACCAGATCACAAATTTCCTCTGGAAATTCACTGAAGTTATTATGTTCCAAATTCAACACTTCCAGGCTTCTCAGATTTCCAAAATGCTTTGGTAGACATGATAAGCCTACTGAATCACCTCGGGCAGCATCCCCAAACAAAAACAGYTCTTTAAGGCATAACATTTGGCAGAAATCATCAGGAATTTTACTCTTTTGTCCTGGGATATCTTTTAGTGCACTTGTACACATTCTAACAACCTGGATGTTGTTGGGGAAATTCGGAAAATTTGAAATGATATCATAGTTGGACAAGTCAACAGTGACCAGCCCATTGACCGTTTTAGGCTTAATATTTTGTGGATCCATTTCAATGTTCACAAAATCATCATCACTGAGATCACTCTCGCCATCTGCCATATTTCTACAAAGAAAATGGRATACAAAAATAAGTACATGCATACAACTATTCTACTTAAATAGATATTATCAAATTCATTAATAATTCATAAGGTCAACACAATGTAAAACATTGCCGTGACTGCATCTTTATATGAGCAAGAGATTTGTCCTGATTTGCATACAACTTTAACTTCRATTTTCTCTTACAAATGATATTTTATCCTGAATTTTTTTTCAAAATATGCTTTAACTTATGTTGGAATTTGATAAGCAATATAAAATATTCACGTCCRACCTTTATGGGCTATAAAACTGCTCTCTTGCAGCTCACAGTTTTAAATGCCCATAAAGATCTCCCACTCATATTTTATATATTACATAACACTCCAAGATAAAAACACTATCTAGGAGTGCCATGAAATATTCTCTACTACAAGGCAATCAATAAATATAATATATGAGTCTAGGGAACTCTTGTAACCACTCAGAATGTATGCATGCTTGAAATAAAGGGGGCAAATATTTACATATATTTACTATACTTGAGAATTTTTTTTCTAAGGTCATAAATAAATATTTATCTTGCTTGAGTGTTACTATTTGAATTTCCGAACCTACATGCGATGCAGTGTGACTATTACATCCAAGTTAAGTTATAGTATGCTAAAGCTCTTCACCAATAACTAAATGCCAAATATTAGATCAAATTATGAGCTGTAAAATGCTTAATGTTTCTTCTTCTTAGTAGGAAAAAAGAAAAGTTGATAAACAACATTGTGGCTTCAATGTTKAATGCCAGTTCATATTTTGTCACTTTCTGGCTAAATAGAAATTTGCAGAATTCAATAATGATATCCAGACAAGTAGAATATTTCTGATTATCAAACTGATGACCGAGGGTACTTCCCTACTGTTACTCAACACAATAATATGTTAGTTTCTACCTCTTGAACAATTTAAAGCAAACCAAAAAAGTGACATTTGTATCCAGAAAAGGATAAAAGTCACAACAACACGCTTGAATCCACTAACAACCTCTAGTGCAGAGTATCCTCTAAAATTAAAAATTATAGGAAATTACCTTTCCTATTATCTATCATCATTGCATCATCATAATCATCATGTACAAAAAAAAAAGAGATATGCATGTGAAATAGTAAGATTTTGACAATATCGACCACATTACWAATGGATGTTTTGAGACCACTCCCTATATGCATATTGATTCTAAAATTGCTCTTAGAAATCTTGGTAAGTGTTCCTTGACTAACTAAGTATAGAATAGTTTATTCACACACTTGGTTCATATATACAAAATTAAAATATAAATTATTTGAGTACATAAAAATATCATAGATAATTAAGCTTACTCAAAGCTAAATAAGTATTCATTTATATAAGACTCTTGATTAACATTCAACTATCTAAAAGTTTTTATAATTTAAACACTTTATAAAATCTCATGCATGAAGAGTCGATTTTATATAAGAGTAAGATTAGTTTAGATTTTCAACTYTGACCACAGTTTAAATAAACTTAAGCTTTTACTATCCACCATTTGACACCCAATGACTATAGCTGCTGTAGCTTTACCTGTAAAATCTCATGCAAATCTTACCTTTACAAAAGCAAAGATCCAAGCTAATCAACCTGTGTTGATTTCGTTCTGAAACTGCTAAATTGACTTAAACATCCCCTAAAAACTACCGATTACTCAACACTCTAATTTCGTAGAATAACCTATTTTTTAGGGGATTCTCAGAATACCAAACAACTTCCGTATGAATGAACTACCGGACTCATGGAGTATATTACACGAGCTCTGATTGGACAAAATTGTAATAGCCAATCAAAATTCGTGATAAAGAAATCGTTCACCGCTGTTCAAAAATACCGTAGAGCTCAAAGGGTCCAAATCGTTGTAGCCATAGTTACGAAGGTTGCATGAATTTGGCTGACAAAAAGTTATAAACTMAAAAATATTTCTTCAAAATGAGCGCCCACGAYAGAAAGATACAATCTCCGGTAGTTGAATTCATTTTCTGTTATTTTTTTCACTTATTTTTTTCGATTTTTTTTCGAGAATTTATTTTGCAATGTTTGACTTCTCAAGATAGAATTCCACTAAATAGTGCAATTATTATTGAGGTTTCTTGCTAATATTTTGGGTTKTTGTAGATAATTTCGACAAAGGACAACCCTGCTGTTGATCCAAGACAAATGAGAAGGATAATAGCCGAAGACCCAGATTGGTAATGGCTCTAGCATGTCCATTAATTGAAATAAACTTAGTTAAGTTACCTCTCATAGTACAACAATTTTTCATATTCTATGCCATRCAGGAGCTTAGCAACGGTTCCCCTCCTCACAGAGCTATGCATCAAACACATTGTACATAATTTTGAAGGTAAGGATTTACCTTAATGTATTTATCAAAAACACAGTTAATGATAAGTCGTAAATAGAAAATTAAGTGCAACATCACCAATAATGTACAAAAGTACCACTACTGGTATACTTTTAAATTTGATTCCAAAAAGGTCATGATTGGTTTGATAGAGAATGCTCAGAATACATTCTCGGCATTCTGCTCCAATTCATTGCAGATTGGATCTCTGGTTTCAAAATATAGGTAACTAAAGGTGAATAATGTTTTTATCCCTTTGGCCTTTGATCTGGTCATCTAGCTCCAGATCTAATTAAATGAAAGCCCTTATAGACTTTGTTAGGATTTGAAAAATGCAGTACATCTATATTTCAGATAATCCAATCCTTGATGAGTTACTTTTAAAGCACAAAAATAAAGTTTTGGAAGCATTATCAACTGGAATATCAATGAAGTAAGTGAATAACATCAGGTATCAAAAAGCAGGACATAATTTAAAGAATAATGAATTTCAGGCTCGAAATGACTGCTCGCCCACATCAGTAAGTTGGCTTCAAAATATCTCAAGTGATAGAGCGTTGCAGCTGGCATTGCAGAGCTAGGTTATGGGTTTGACCCCCTTTGAAGATGATTTTTTTGGGGGTGATACACTGCTATACAATCATTATTCCTTACACATCTCTAACTCTTCATTTATCAATTTTAGAGTAACATCTAATCTAGTGTCTGATGAAAACTACTGGAAAAGATGTTGTAAATCAAGATGGGAAGTTTGTGACATTGCAAAACATGGAAATAGCTGGAAAAGAATGTATTTTGAAAGAAATCTAGAAGGTAGTTTTTGATAGATTTCTTAATGGTCTGTGTTACCTCTTCAATTCAAATCAATTGCAAATTAAATAGAGTCAGCTATAGCCTCTTCCTCTCTGGAATCTCTCTGATATTTTCTTGGAAGAACATGGGACCACAGGTCATATTGAAGATGACATGATACGGAAGACACAAAAGATCAAAAAGTAAGAAAAAAAAGAAAATATGAGAGATGCCTTTAAAGGACGGAGGCTAAGTCAGCTGTAATAGAGAGTGCAAACACTAAAACCATGAGAAATAGTTTAAACTACTGCATTATTTAGCTTTTACTATTTGCCTCTAGGTTTTGAGTATGATGATAAGTTGATATGATTTTGATTTTTTTATTATATGATTGTCAGAACTAATTATAAATGGATAGCAATTTAATGATTTGCTTTACCCAACAGGAATAATTGAAAGTTTTGTTCCTGAAAGTACAGATCCAATGCCGGTAATTATATTATATTTTTTCATTGTTCTTTTTTTAATTCTAACTTGTAGATGACTATTATTTACTTTCTTGTAGCCTGAGGCTCGCATTATCACTGCGTTTACTAGTAAACCCGATGTACGCAGGCTAAGCTTTCCTGAATGATGTATTTTTATTTCTTTTCACAGCTGTATGAAACTCTAAAGCTATCATCAGCTTATGTCAAGTCACTTACAATAAAACAGCTCCTCCCTCCTGTTAAAGAAGCACCAGTGAAAGATGATGATGCTTCAGATGCGTAAGTTCTTAATGAATTAATTAACTATTTTGTGATGTWTTCACATTGCATGAGGGACTCCATAAGTACAAATTGGTTTTAAGTGTTTTTCCACATTCACCTGGGAACAGACCAAACTTCATGGACTTTGAAATCCAATATGCTCCCATTTATTGAACAGATACGCCCAATGTACATATACACAGCTAATGRTTTTTGTTATTTTATCATTAATTCATTACTAAGCTGAGTTTAATGTTTGATTTTTATTAACATTAGAGGGAGTGATGCTGGACAAGATGGACCCAACATTGATCACTTTGATTTTGGTGTTGTGATTCCTAAGCTGTTATATCTGGAGGAGCTTCATTTAACATATGGGTATTTGATTTTTGTGTCTATTATTTATATAATATTCAAATTTATATATTTATAAGTATTTTGTCAATGAGAGATGTCAGAGATGTTTTTTTTATATTTAAAGAGCTGACTAACTGTACAATGTTATATACTGAGCTGCTCTGAAGAATGAAAACTAACCCTGAAAGAGCCTTTCAGATCCTTCGAACATTTCCCATTACCTCTGAATTACTTCTTTAATTGATGTAACACTTAGAAAAATTTAATGTTTCAGGCCTCCACCTGATCCGTATTGGCAATTTTTTGTTGCATTTAATCCAATCGTCAGAGTTGTGTTTAAATTATATGAGAATACTGTACTCTGAATTTACTGACGTTGGTAGATTTTGTTCAGTTACACAAACTATATATACTGCCAACTTTTCTCAACTATACATACAGGCAATTAGGTTAGACAGGAAAAGATTGATCGCTGAATTGGGATTCTTCTCTTGTTTTAGTGTACGGGACTGTGGGATGAATTTTGAGTGGAACCTCTTTATGTTTACTGCCAGGGATTGTCTTTTACTTGCAAAGGTTGGTTATTTATATTATTTAAAAAACTCATACATAATTAATGAGCTATTAGGCCAATAGAATGAGCCTATTTGGTCACATGCATGGACCTTTATATCTGATAAAACACTCCTTATTAGTATTCTT